CAAAATTTTTAAAAAAAAAAAAAAAAAAAAAAAAGAAAGAAAGAAAAAGAAAGAATATATATTGTTTCTTTTTTTACTGTTCTTATAAAATAGGAAGTTATGGGGGCTGGAGAAACACTCTGGTTATAGATTCTCAGAGGTTATGGAGAGAGGCTTGGTGGTTATGGAGGGATGCTCAGAGGTTATGGAGAAAGGCACAGTGGCAAAGCTCACCTCACTTAGGAGTGGGACCAGCGTTAGATTCCCAGCATTCACAGTGCAGGAGGTGGCTCACTCTGGAGGGCTCTGAGGCCTCTGACCTCTGCAGGCATCTGCACAAATTATTGGTCACATTGAAAAGGCAGGATAGTTGTTTTGCTCATTCTTAATAAATTTAAAATTTTATAGTGTAAGTTCAGATTTCTCTATTCGAATTATTTATATTTCAATTTTTTTTTTTTACTAAGGTAATTCCAGCCTATCTGACATTTGCTTTCTCAAAGTAAAAATCCCATTTTTGAAAACTACTCCTTGCTGGGTGTTGGTGGCACACATCTTTAATCCCAGCACCCAGGAGGCAGAGGCAGGCAGATTGCTGTGAGTTTGAGGCTAATCTGGTCTCCAGAGCGAGTGCCAGGATAGGCTCCAAAGCTACACAGAGAAACCCTGTCTTAAAGAAAAGAAAAGAAAAGAAAACAACTCCTTGATCATTAACTTATTTTAAACTGCATTACATTTCATTTTGATTATGGATTGTATGCCTCACAGACAAAGAATGCCTCAGCATCCTAAAATTTAAAAATTTATTTCTAAATTGTAAACACTTTATGATGCATTATACAAAAAATAAACTTTTTAAATGATCTAATGTGATATTTTACTTTCTCCCCTGAGCACGAGAACTCTCTGAATCTAGAACCTGGGTTTACAGATCTCAGGCTTGAGAACACCTTTACCTTCAACCACAGACACTTTTGCTAATGTCTTAAGTGGCATTTTGTTCTTTGTCTTTCCTTGGTCTGCTTCCACACTCACAGGGAAAAAAAAAAAAAAAAAAATCCGAATCTGAGCTTTTTGTTCCTGTGGAAGGGGGGAGTAAGGGTTAGCCTGTTCCAAAAGAGTTGGCATTTTCTGCCAGTCTCCCTTTGTGAAAAGGTCATGTGCTCTGTGGAAGGCCTGGCACTTGCGCCAAACATCAAGTGGCTTTAATCTGTCCTTGATGATTCTTAACTAACACAGTGTTCTGCATATGACCTCCTAAGGACAGTCTCACAAGCCACCTTTCATGAAACCGGGGCTGTGCTTGATGGTGGAGGTGCCATCCGACTGGTTGTGGTGCCCTGACCTTCAGAAGCCTTTGGGAGATTTTTGTACCCTATCTCATGTTTCACTAGTTTACATTTCAAACAGTGGTGGGAAAGGTTAAGTTCCTGGTACAGTGTAAGGGTAGGAAATGACCCCTTTAGGTGGTTAATGTTGGTGTACTTTCTGAAGAACGGCTGTGGTGGGAGGAGCAGCATACACAGCACTGTGTACTGGGAGCCCAAGAGGCCACGGAGGAGGCCAGATCCCCTCTGCTTAACTCCAGCCAAATTACCTGAGCAGTGAAAGAAGCTTCAGCTGCTGCTTTCTGAACCCACACCATGGGGTGGAGGAGTGGGAGCATGCTCTTCCCAAGAGGCCCCACTAGCACCCAAGTTTTTGCACAGTGAGGAAACTGTGAGGAGAAGGAATTTAGGAAGGGAAGCCTTGGAGTGTGTTCTGGTTTTAATTTCACAGAGTTTGGGTAATTGAAGATAGAATTGAGGTTGTGTTTTATTTGGTGAGCAGCACCTTTCTCAGCAGTTCAGGCTGTACATTTTCTGTAGGTTTCCTGTAGGTTTCTGGCCCTTGGCTTGTTTCTGCCACTTCTGGCCTAACGGTCTGCTGTTGAAATTTGGGTGCTTTTGTTTGTTTGTTTTTATTATAGACAGCAAACATTTGGTCGTTGGGAACTGTGGATCTCTTCCTCAGATGCCTCAATGTATGGAACCTAAAGCTCTGGTCCCTTTTGTAGGCCTGCAGTTGTGTGTGGATCTAACTTTTAGTAAGCAGGTGGCTTCTTGCTCTTAAACGTGAATGGGATATTCTAATTTTGCCAGTTTGTTGTGAGTTTTGAAAGCAAATCCATTGTTTTTGGTAATAAAAACCCTTTACAGTACTCACGTCATGCTGTCCAATCTCTGCAGGTGCTGAAGAGAAAATTTTGGAAGAGTTTAAAGAAACACACAATGCAGAGTCTCCAGATTTTCAGCTCCAGGCAATGATCCAGGCTGCTGGCAAGCTGGTGCTGATTGACAAGCTGCTGCCAAAGCTGAAGGCTGGTGGCCACAGGGTGCTTATCTTTTCCCAGATGGTGCGCTGCTTGGACATCCTGGAAGACTATCTCATTCAGAGACGGTGAGGCCACCACACAAAAAACAACAGAAAGAAAGGGCAGGACTCTGAGTGGGTCACCTAGAAGTGACGTTTACAGGAGAGGTGGTGGATGGAAACAATGTATCACCTCCCCTTTTGAAACCACAGTTGTATATAAGGGCATCTTATATGATGACTGCAGGGGTGGGGGGCAGGCATTGCATAGTTTTTGTTTGTTTGTTTGAGTGTCTGCTTAAACCTTTTGCAGTTTTTATTTGATTGATTGATTGAAGATTGATTGACTGATTGATTTTTCTGTGTTGCCCTGTCTGTCCTGGAACTCACTCAGTAAATCAGGCTGGCCTCAAACTCATTGATTCACCTGCCTCTGCCTCCCTAGTGCTGGGATTAAAGCTGTGCACCATGTGTAGGAGGGTCTCAACCCTCCTCCCTCCCTGCTGCATAATTTTGTGGGCAATTTTTCCCTCATTTCATTCAACTTCTGGGGAGAAAAGTTCTTACTTAAAACTGGCTGGGAGGTGGTAATGCATGCTTTTAATCCCATCACTCGGGAGGCAGAGGCAGGCCAGCTTGGCCTATAGAGCTTTTGAGTTCCAGGACAGACTCCAAAGCTACACAGAGAAACCCTGTCTGGAAAATGAAAAAAAAAAAATTAAATTAATTTAAAACTGTATGTTATCAGCTACTTTTAGAATTTGTCTAGTTCCTTAAGAGAAAGTAAAATAAAAATCTTTGACTGTTCAGGTAATTGTATGCAAAAAAAAACCTCTGATCTGAAATTATTTGTTGACTCCTTCTGTCATGTGAATGCATAGTCCCAAGTGGAAATCTTACTTGATGGCAAAGAGGAACAATTAGTAGCTGTTTGTCAGGCCTCCTGTTGTATTTCCAGGTACCCATATGAGAGGATTGATGGCCGAGTCAGAGGCAACCTCCGCCAGGCAGCCATTGACAGATTCTCCAAACCTGATTCCGATAGGTTTGTGTTCCTCCTGTGCACACGGGCAGGAGGTCTGGGCATTAATCTCACTGCTGCTGATACCTGCATCATCTTTGACTCGGACTGGAATCCTCAGAATGACCTCCAGGTAAGTGGGGACAGGCTGCCCTGTGCCTCTTTTCATTCTTCTGTGACAAAGACTCATCAGTCACACCAGGGAACGAGTGTGTTGCTGCTCAGCCGGTGTCTTCTGCCTGGTGATCAGCCGATGCAGTGTCTGAGAGGAAAAACACTTAGTGTATTAACCCCTTCTAAACTGCACCTCTAATTACTGGGACTCGAAGTCTTAGAACTGGCCGAGCCGTGTGTTTCTTAAGTGTTGGTCACTTTTGGCTGCCATACCAAAAATGACTTGACTGGGCAGTTTAAACAATTCCAACACCTTTCTCAAGGTTCTGGAGCTGGAAGTGTGAGTTCTGAATGCCAACAAGATCGGGTTGTTGATAAATTGCTGCACAGACAGCTGTTTTCCTCCGAACACACTCACCCTTCTACCTCTTCTTACAGGAGGCTAATCCCATTCATTAGGGCACTATCCTCATGACCTAATTACCTCTTAAGTCCCCACCTCTAAATCCCCACTTCTAAATCACACTGAGATCAGCTTCCAACATATGAATTTAGGGAGGATACCACTATGTATTCCATTACAATAGCCATCGATTTTCTTTTTCTTCCAGGCTCAGGCTAGATGCCACAGAATAGGGCAGAGCAAATCTGTGAAAATCTACAGGCTGATTACGAGAAACTCGTATGAAAGGGAAATGTTTGACAAAGCTAGTTTGAAGCTGGGTCTGGACAAAGCTGTGTTACAGTCTATGAGTGGAAGAGAAAATGCCACCAATGGGGTAAGATGACACTGTCCAAGCTATGTATTCATTCCAGCTAATGTCTGTATGAAGCTGAGAGTACGAAATTTTTTGGCATCTGGTTTTTGTTGTTTGTTTTCTCGAGACAGGGTCCTTCTTAAGACAGCTCTGGCTGGCCTGGAACTCAGAGAGATCCAGGGACTAAAGGTGTTTGTCACCACACTCTCCTGGCTATTTTTTCACCTCAAAATTTAATCATATTTTTATTTCATTTTCCTTTGTTAGAAGTTAACTTTCTTAAGACATTCAATTTCTGTTTTAATTCTAAGTTACTTTGAATACTTAAACTTTCTCTGAAACAGGTACAACAGCTTTCCAAGAAGGAGATAGAAGATCTTCTACGAAAGGGGGCTTATGGTGCACTTATGGACGAGGAAGATGAAGGGTCTAAATTCTGTGAGGAGGACATTGACCAGATTCTCCTTCGTCGAACCCACACTATTACCATTGAGTCGGAAGGAAAAGGCTCCACATTCGCCAAGGTTCGAATCCACCTAAGGGGCCAGGTCTCTAAAGAAGCATGATAGAGCTCATGGAGAGTACTTTTGAAGGGACTGCAAAACATACGCAGGACTTTGCTTTTCATTATGAATTATAGACCAGTTATTAATTCCCTGGCAACTCCAACACATAAGGCATTCTTTTGTTGTTGTTTGTTTTTGAGACAGTTTCTCTGTGTAGCCTTAGCTGTCCTGGAACTCACTCTGTAGACTGGCCTTACCTACCTCTGCCTCCCGAATGCTGTGATTAAAGGTGTGTGCTGCCATCACCAAACCATTATATGCTGGGTTCTCTTCTGTGTGTGTGTGGGGGGGTATGGTGCTGCTCTTATGTGTTCTTTGCCCATCCTTCCCTCTTAGGAATCTAGTTGTCCTCTCACCCTCTTCTCCCCTAAACCTTGATTCCTGAAACAACCTGAAAGGATGATCACGTCACTCTGCATTTAAGTCTTTCTTCTTTTCTCTCTAACTACAGCTCCACAACTCTGCTCATAGCTAAAATGCATCCATCGTGTCCTATCCCAGCACTCCACACAGCCTGCTTCCCACAGTTTGTCCCATGTACTCTTCTACTATATCCACCCTGCTAGTATTCCAGGCACCCACATTGAGGCTCACTCTACTTTTTAGTTTTGCTAAACTGTGGTTTACTTTCTATTAAGTGTGAAATCCAGTGCCTTTGACATATTACAGGCTTGTGCAACTGCTAGCATAATCCTAAATTTAGAATGTTCCTATTGCCTCAGAAAGATCCTCATGCCCATTAGCAATCAGACTCCATCCCTCTGTTTCACACAGTCCTGCAAACCATGTGTACTTTCTTTATAGCTTTACCTGCCCTGGATACACCATTATAAATGGAGTTACACCATGTATGGTCATTTTTGTATGCTTTTATACACCTACATAATGTTTTTGAGGTTCAGCCTTATAGTATGTATTGTTACTTTGTTTCTTTTTATGCTGACAGTGTTCTACTGTGTGGGTATCACACAGTGACCAGGTGATAATGGATATTCAGGTCATTGCTTATTGATGATGAATTGGGGTTATGTCTACTTTGGGATTTTTTTTTTCCTAGACAGGGTTTCTGTGTGTATCCCTGGCAGTCCTGGAACTCACTCTGTAGACCAGGCTGGCCTTGTACTCATAGAGATCACCTTCCTCTGCCTCCCAGGTGCTTGGATTGAAGGCATACATCACCATCCAGCTTACTTTGGGATTTTTAATGAACATTTTCATAGTAGTTTATGCTTGGACAAATTTTCATTTCTTTCTGGCATATGCTAGGAAGGGAACTGCCAGAGCGGGATGGTAGCTGTCTCTACCCTCAACTGGAATGAACCTAAGCCTCATGTATGTGTGCTTACCTTTTAAGGAACTAACAGAGTGGGTTTGTTTGTTTCTTTCTTTCCTTTTAAATGAATTAGAAAAAATTTAAGTTAGCATAGACATAATGGGTTTCACCCTGGCATTTTCATCATACATGTGTCACCCCTTACCCTTTGCATTCCTTCTGCTGGTCCCTTTCCACTATGCAGTGGCCCCTTCTTCTGCCTTCATGTCACATGTGTTCCATTATTCTTCTTACCCTTGTGCTTAAAATCTCTTCCTTTCTTCCTGTAGTCTCATGACCTGACTTATGCATGTGCATATGTATGCACAAATACACATACGCACGCACGCACACACGCACAGACAATCTAGGTTCATATGTGAGAGAAAACTGTCTTTCTGAGCCTGGCTTATTTTGCTTAACATATGGTTTCCAGCTCTCTCCACTTTCCCTCAAGTGTCATGATTTCATTTTTTTCTTTACAGCTAAATAAAATTCCATGGTGTGTAGATAATTTCCTTTATCAGTTCATCTATTGTTGGACATCTAGGCTGGTACCATTTCCTGGCTATTGTAAAACATGGGCGTGTAAGTGTCTCTGTGGTGTGTTGACTTAGAGTCCTTCCTTCAGGAATACAATCAAGTGGCATAACTGGGTTATTTCATAGTTCTATTTTTAGTGTTTTGTGAAACCTCCACATGGACTTCCACAGTGGCTCCACGAGTTTTCATTCCCACTGGGAATGAGCACGAGTTCCTCTTTCCCTACATCCTGGATAGCATTCATTATTTTGTTGGTGCTGGTTTTAATTTCCATTTCCCTGGTGGCTAAAATTGTTGAGCCCCAGTTTGTTTTCTAGAGTGGCTGTTCCCTGTTGCTTTCCCACACCTGTGTACTAGAGTTGTGTTTCCCATGTCCTCACCATCACCATTTATAACCTGTTTGTATGGTGTGAGGAGGGATTTGAGCTCATCTGTTGCCCCAGAGGCTCTTCTCTCGGCTCTGTGCCCTCATATCTTTTAGTCTCTTGCAGGACTTTTCCTCAGATCTCACATGCACTATAAGTTCAGTATGTGCAAAGCTAACATGTATGCGAGTGCATGCACGTTTGCACACACACTCACGAAAAGCACGTGGTCCATCTGAGTGACATACTGTAACTGGAGTTTCTTTCCCACCAGATCCCGCCTATCTTTAGCCCCAAATAAGCACACAGAGACATATTAATTTATAAACTGTTGGCTGATAACTAGGGCTTCTTATTGGCTAGCTCTGTCTTAATTATTAACCATTTCTATAAATCTGTATTTCCATGTGGTCTTGGCTTACTGGAGAATGCCTGGACCTGTTATTCCTTTGGTGGCTACGTGGCATCTCTTTGAGGCACCTCTCTGCCTCTTTCCCCAGCATTCTCCTCGTCTCCTAGCACCTCCTATCTTCCTGCCTCTACTGGCCAAACTCTTTTATTGTCAACCAATAAGAAAATCATATATACCAAAGGATACCCCCATCAGCATGCAGACGCCAGAGTTGGATGTAGCAGTTTTTCTTGGATTCTTCACTCTCAGTGCTTCACATCTGCCTGATGTCTACCTCTGTTATGTCTTTTTTAGGAAGTCTTCTGTTATGCATTTTTAGTCATTTCTTGTATGAACTACTAGAGTGGTATGCTCTGATCTGCACACTGGAGGGTGTCAGGGTAACTTCTCTAGGCATGGTCATGGACCTCTTGAGTTTACCCCTGTTATTAAGTAGTCCATGCTCAGGATAGAGGCTGGACTGCTGACAGCACATACAAGGGCCCCTTGGTCTGGCCTCAGTCCTCATTGACTTGCCCACCGCTGCTTTTCCTTAACTCTCTTCATCTTGGTCCTCTCCTCTGGGCCTTTGCACATGCCCTGCCGTGATCATTTCTGCAGCCTTTCATGTGCTCCAAAACATGGTCTCTTGTAGAGAAAGTGGTTTTTAAGATCTGCTCCCTGCAGTACCTTGCTGGAACCAAGTTCAAGGCCTTCCCCCATTGCTTGTACTTTTCCATACCTACAGCAGGTGTGGAAAGTGTACAAGGGACAGTCTTTCCCCTCTCTCATCCACTATACTGTCTTGCACAAGAGGATGAACACACGCATATTTGGTGGAAATGGGCTGTCTTACATCCTGACTCTGAGAAACTTATCTCAAAGTAATGCATACCTTTTTCTTCTTTTAGGCCAGTTTTGTTGCTTCTGGAAATAGGACAGACATTTCTTTGGATGACCCAAATTTCTGGCAAAAGTGGGCTAAGAAGGCTGAACTGGACATTGATGCCTTAAATGGGAGGGTGAGTGAGAAGTCCCATCCAGACTGCTACCTGATAGGACCCAGAGGTTGGTCTGAAATCTCACTTCGTTTGCTCCTTTGTTAGAACAACCTGGTTATTGACACTCCACGAGTAAGGAAGCAGACCCGGTTGTACAGCGCAGTGAAGGAAGATGAGCTCATGGAGTTCTCTGACCTGGAAAGCGATTCTGAGGAAAAGCCATGCGCAAAGCCACGGCGCCCCCAGGATAAGTCACAGGGCTATGCCCGGAGTGAGTGTTTCCGGGTGGAGAAGAATCTGCTAGTCTATGGGTAAGTGATTACATGAAATCACTTTTTATGTTCCCAACAGTTAGAATTCTCAGTTGTCATAGGAAAACCATTTTTGTGTGGTTCTGCATGGCTCCTCTCAGTGTAACCAGTTAAATGCCTCCACATTAACGTTCTACAGCCTCTGTGGCTCCTTTGGTCAACACGACCCAAGTCCCAGTTCTCCTGTGTGTAGAGAGAGAAGTCACTGGAATTTACGAGTGTTAGCTAGCACCTTCGGAATTATGGCAACTCCAATTTACTTGTAGATTATTAAATACTAAGAATGATGTAAAATTGCAAAAATCTCATGGTACTGTATTGTCACATAAACTTTATGACCATAGTTATCTGTTTTTAAAGATTTATTTATTATGTATACAATAGTGTTCTGCCTGGATGTAAGCTTGCATACCAGAAGAAGGCACCAGATCTCATTATAGATGGTTGTGAGCCACCATGTGTTTGCTGGGAATTGAACTCAGGACCTTTGGGAAAGCAGTCAGCGCTCTTAACCTCTGAGCCATCTCTCCAGCACCCTCATAATTAACTTTTAATAGTTTTTTGTTGTAAAGATTTATAAGAGGCAGAGACCTCACTCATGTACTTTTCTCCAACTCAACTGAAGCCTTTGGTAAAGGCTGGCTCCCAAGCCCTCATGACACATATCAACTTTATGTCTCATTCAACAAGGCACCCACACAGCACTTTGAATGGCAGGGTGCTCAGTAAATACCTCAATCAGTAGGTAAGAATTTACTCACAGATTGTGGGGCTATAGGCAGATGCCATTAAAATAGAAACTGCCACCAAAGTGTCTTTCCATTGATTTGATGCTGCCCTGCCTGTGGCATTTCTCTCAGCGGATCGCTGCTCATGCAGAACAGGCTGAAGCACATGTCTGGGGCCTGCAGGGTTGTTTTTTGTCATGTGGATGCTTCTTCATGGGTAGTCCAAGCTCTGTGTGGGAACTTTGCGTCCGCTCATGCCCCTGTTTCTCATGCCCTTCTAATCTCTGTCAGTGTATACAAGCTGTTCTCCCGAGGGCCCCCAGCAGACTTGACCAGCCTTATGCCTGCCTCCCTTGCAGCACTCCCCACAGCTGTCCCCTTAGCACTCTGGCCTGCTGCCTCATCATACCAGTGTCTCTCTTGATGGAATCCCCGTCAGCATTTCTTTGAGGACAGGAGCTCTTTTGGTGTATCCTCAATGCATGGAGCAGTACCACAGAAGCAGAGTGCTGCATAGATGTTTGCATACCAGCTGAGGCTTAGGCTGAATCCCAGCAACCCTGTTTTGGCCCTAGTCTGTGCACACAGGGTAGCTCTCCTGCTTCTGCGTAGAGCAGACACTCTCCTAGCCTCAGCCCTTTGATCCTGCTTCCTTGTTTTAGCCTGGTGAGCATAGTTGGGATTTTGTTGGCAACCTTAGGACTGGAACATATTACTAACTCTCAGTTCTAAGAGGGGTGCTCAGAGCATTGTCTTTCACTTGTCTTCTCCTCTTCCCACTTTTACTGTGGTGGATTGAATAATCACCACATGCTGGCCTCTGGACTAGGATACTCTCAGGCACCAGGACTACCACTGTGTGCAAAGCAGGTGCAGCCCAAGGCAGGAAGGTGAGCAAGCAGAAATGGCAGTGTGCTAAGATTTTGTGACAGAGAGTATAGAAGATCAGCATGCAGCCATAGGACATAGCTTAGGTACTGTGCTCCCACTTCTGGGGCTGGGAGGAGTCAAAAAGGGAGTCTGTCCCTGGTGGACGTCAGTAATGCATCAGATGTGAGGAAGGGAAGGAGAAGCAAACACAAGGCCTGGAGGTGAGTGGCAGCCTCGAGAATGGGTCTGAGATAGGTCAAAATGGCCAGTAAAAACAGTGGTTTGGCGAGAGGCAGGCATGACACAGGATGTTTTCTCTCTGTTCTCAAAGCATGACTCTTAGTTATCACAGAGGGCAATGGAGAGGCTCCACCTTCAGGCACAGCTCAGGCAGCCTCTGCATCCTACACCTGTTTGTTGTATAGTAGGTATTTCCAAGACAGAACAGTACGAATGCTGTTTGTGTGATGGTGGCACCACATGTATGTGTCTCCCTATGCTTAGTCCTTCCTCCTGCCCTTTCTCTGCAAGGACCTGAGGCATGGCTCAGCATCTTTCCTGAGTTGGAAGTAGCCATTCCGTGTTGAATAGGAGCCACAGGGCTTTTATGCCTTCACTAGTTATTGTGGTATCTCTTTGTGGTAGGTTGTAGTCTTTGATTTCTAGTAGTCACTCCAGCTTCAAGCCATCTTTCATTTCATAAAAGGTTAGTCACCATAGGTACATATAAATCATAGTTGAAGAAAGCACAGTGTATAATAATTTCCAGTCCCCCAGATTTGCATGCATTTCCTAAAAATGACAGCCATAGGCACCAACAGCCCAGCAGAGTCATTAGCCACATGGGTATCTCAGTGGCCATGCAACTCCTGGCTTGGTGGTTTCTTCTATAAGGTGTTTTGTGCCCGTACCTGCATTGCTTTCCTATCTCCAGAAGTTCCTGATGCAAGTGTGGGTCTAGGATTTTCCAGTACTGGGGCCTGGCTGTCAAGGAGAGATCATATCTACAACCAGACTCCATCTGCATACTGACACTTTGCTTTCCAGCTGGGGCCGCTGGACAGACATCCTGTCCCATGGACGCTACAAACGCCAGCTCACTGAGCAAGATGTTGAAACCATCTGCAGAGCCATCCTGGTGTACTGTCTCAATCACTACAGAGGGGATGAGAACATCAAGAGCTTTATCTGGGACCTGATCACACCCACAGCTGATGGCCAGACTCGAGCCCTGCTCAATCATTCTGGTAGGTTGGTCTTGTGTTCTTTGTGCTTCTGGGTCACAAAAGGTTACTGCCATTTGGCAAAGGGTGGCAGCATAGACTATTCTCCCACTGCCCCTTACAGTATCAGCCCCTGACACTGTACTGTCCAATACCAAGACATCCATGACTGTAACCCTGGTGCTTCTAGGTCTGTCAGCCCCTGTGCCAAGGGGCCGGAAGGGAAAGAAGGTGAAGGCCCAGAGTAAG